ACAAACCGGGGCCACTCTCGTTTCGAGGGGCAAAGGTCCCGCCCTGGCCCTTCTGCTCTACTCTGGTCTTCCTGGTCGTGCAACACTTTGAACCTCGTCTGCCCTCTTGCTGCTCTTCCTTCCCACCTCCGTGCTCAGAGATATAGGCGGGCGAGTCCATCTTCCTCCCCTCCGGCCACTGGATCAGGACTGTCCGCCTTTTGCTTTCCCACGTCTCAACTCATCTTTATCAACAACACGACGGCCTTGGAAGCCCCATCGTTGTCAAATCGAACTACACTGCATTGCACTTACACGAACCACACAATACCCAACAAACTCACCCACCCCTCCTGAGTTGCTCCCACTTGCGAAAGCTGCACACCACACCCTCCAGAGCACACCATTCCTGTGACAACACGCCATGGTCAGCCCTGATCCTGAGTTTATGCCCCCCCCTTCACGATCCTCCACGGGAACAACGAGTAGCACCACCGTCTTCGACTTGGCCACCAATCTCGACATGTCGGACGACGACTCGCATGTCACATCGCCCGCTGCTGGCTTCTCTGTAAAGCAGCAGACGCACTCCCCGACTGGCAGCGCCCACTCAGTATCCGATGAATTTGAGGACCACGTCAAGAATGAATCTGGCGACCCGGCCTCGGTCCCCGTGCAGAAGCGCCGCCGTGTCACAAGAGCGTGCGACGAGTGCCGGCGCAAAAAGATCAAGTGCGACGGCAAGCAACCATGCACACACTGTTCGGTCTACAGCTACGGTAAGTTTCTCTCTTGCCCCGAACCTTTGTATCATGATTTGCGGCGCAACGGCGCCCGCCCAACTAACCACACCCCCCTCAGAATGCACATATGATAAGCCTTCGAACCGTCGTAGGAACCCAGCACCACAGTACATCGAAGCGCTGGAAAGCCGTCTGCAGCGAGCCGAAGCTCTGCTGCACAAGTTTATGCCCGATGTCGACCTCAGCGACCCGAACCTCGACCCAACCGTGCAGCAAGAGTTCCGAAGCCGAGAACTCGCACGCAGTCAAGCAAAGATGAGACAGGACCACATGGGCCCTGGTGATAGGGAAGATGCCCAGCTCTTGTCCATGATTGAGTCCATAGGTCAATTGGACATGGACGATCGCGGCGGCTGGGACTTCCACGGCGTGTCCTCTGGCGCTGTCTTTCTGCGACGAATGAATGAGAACTTCCAGGGCCTCATGGGCCCTGCCACAAAAGCGCCGTTCCTCCCACGGAAGGAACGGCCGTATGGTCTGACGAAACTGGACTCCCCGGCGTCAGCCGGCAGCTCGCCACAAGATTTGACGCTCGCCCACGGGTCTGAATTGCCTCCAAAAGAGTTCGCCCGCAAGCTTTGCTACTACTCATTAAGCTGCGGAACGTGTCTCATTCGAATCGTCCACGCGCCGACATTCTGGGACATGTTTGATAACATTTACGACAAACCACACGAAAGCTACACACAAGAAGAGCAAAGGTACCTCGGTCTTTTGTATGCTGCCATGGCACTCGGCTGCATGTACAATAACCTGGACGACAGCTCGGCCTCCGTGACATATCAGGAGGCTATGAATCAAGGGTAAGCCTGCCTGCCGTTGATGCATTGGAACTGCTCACTAACGTTTCCAAAGCGTCAAGTATTACGACCACGCGAGACGACTACTGCAAGATATCACCGAGTGTCGGGACCTCACGTCATTACAGGCACTCCTGTTCATGATTCTCTTTCTGCAAGCAACATCCAACCTCAGCGGATGCTACGCCTTTGTCGGCATTGCGCTGCGATCCGCCGTGCGCATGGGTCTGCACCGCCATCTCCAACATGCACAGATTGGCGTGATCGAGCAGGAGGTCCGCCGCCGCGTGTTTTTTGTTGTTCGTCAGATGGATATTTACGTGTCTGCGATGCTGGGCTTCCCGCTCTTGCACAACCCCGAAGACATGGACCAGACGTACCCCACAGAGGTAGACGACGAGTACATCACCAACGAAGGCATCATCCAGCCACCTCCGGGCACCGCCAGCTTCTTCGAGGCATTCAACGCACACACGAAACTCATGGAGATCCTCGCCAAAATCATCAAGCACGTGTATCCCTTGAAGGGACTTGGGCAGAGCGTGATGAAGGGCGACAAGCTCGGCACCACATACCACATCAGCTACTCCAGCATCAAGAAGATCGAGGGCGAGCTTCAGGAGTGGTACGCGGAGCTGCCGCCTCAGTGGCGACCCAGCTCTGACGGACCCATCGAAGTGATTCGGTACGTGTAAACTTCCGTTACATTCTGCCACTGGACCTTCCGCTAACTGTGTCCAGCGTGCGACACCTTCTACGGTTTGCCTATGCCCATGTTCAACTCGTCCTGTACCGACCGTTCCTCCACTACGTATCGCCTCGCCTGAGTCTGGGCAAGAACGTGGACGAGCTTTCCTACGCGTGCGCTGCCGCCGCCATCAGCGTGTCCCGCAACATTGTGCACATTGGCATCGAGATCCGCAAGCAGGGCGTTCTCGCAGGGCCTTACTGGTTCATGCTGTACACCGAATTCTTCGCGGTTCTTTCTCTCGTGTTTTACGCGGTTGAGAATCCCGAAAAGCCCGGTTCGGGCGAGGTTTTGGGAGATGCCAAGGCTGGCCGTGACATGCTCGAAGCGCTCAAATCAAAGAGCCAAGCGGCCGAGCGGGTGACTGCCGCACTGGATGTAAGTCGCATTTTTCGCCACTCTTGTCATCATTTGACAGCCACTGATCCTGGCAGATCTTGTTTGAACAATTGCCCGAGAGGCTCCAGCAAACCACGGCCCACCCGATACCGTCCAAGAAACGATCGGCACCTGGGCCAAGACCTGGGCTGGGACCCATTCATGGCGGGCATCCGGGCCTGCATCCGTCCCTCGGGCCGCGCCGATCAGAAGAACTCTCGAGGCCGCCCAGCACGGCGCTGGTCAACGGGCGCATGGGCGCAGCGCCGGTCAGGAGCTCTTTCGACAGTGGCTTGTCGGACGGCTCGTACCGAGACTCGGCCTTCCCGGCCAACATGCAGGAGATGCTGGCGATGGACATGAACCCGCGCACGAGCCCGGAGTCGACGAGCACAGGCACGAGCTCGCACGCGCGGACGCAAGGGTATCCTCCGCCGCCGACACTGGGCAACGGCAGCAGCACATCGATCCACAAGCTCGACTCGCTCATGTTTCCTTCGGAGGACCCTTTCGCGTACCCGAAGCAGCCGATGATGGAGCTTGGTTTCCAGCCCGGCTCGGTGTCGGGCGCAGGCGCCACGGCGGCCAACATTAGCGCGCCGCTGGATGCATCGCAGTTCACGATGCCCGGGGCATTTGACGACATGGATCCGCACCATTTTCTGGGGCAGGGCCCCTCTTACTACATGCAGCAGCAGCAGCACCAGCAGCAACAGCAGCACCAGCAACATCAAACACAACAGCAAGTACAGCCAGGGCTGGACCTGGCCAACATGTACCAAAATTCCAACCTGCTTGGGATGCACAACGACGCATCACGACTGGAGCAAGCGCGGCGCGCAGCCCAGATGCAACGGCCTGTCGACAATAGACACATGGAGCGAATGATGGCAGATTCAGGATACCAAGGGAACTGGGGCAGCATGTTTGCGCGCGGGGGTTTCCAAGGTCTCTAGAACAGGGACGGACCCCGGGGCAGACAGAAAGCACGAGTACGGAGTAGGAGCAAGAGAGAGGAGCAAGAGAGAGGAGCAAGAGAGAGGAGCAAGAGAGAGGAGCAAGAGAGAGGAGCAAGAGAGAGGAGCAAGAGAGAGGAGCACAAGAGAGGAGCAAGAGGGAGGCCGCAAAGGGAACAGTCCCGACAGACGGACGAGCCCAGCGATGATTTTATCTTGTTTAATGAGCGAGCGTCAGCGGCGGCCCGGGGCGCGCGCGCGCGCGGTTTTCTACATTCAGCGAGCTCGAGAAGCTCAGCGCTGCCACGCCCAGTTCGGGGGGTGGATTCTCATGGGGAGGAGACGATCTGAAGGGGGGGTATTGGGTGGTGAGGGACAGAGAGGAAAGACGGGAGAGGGCAGGAGAAAGGCGCGACGGATTTTTGGCTTTACACGCACACACACGTTTAACGACTTGGGCGATTTTGTACAAAGGTATCTGGGGAGGTAATTTAGATGTCTCTACGGAGGCTGAACCCTTTCGTCTCTCTCTGGCTCTCTGCCTGCCTGCCTGCCTGCCTGCCTGCCTGCCTGTTTTTTCACTCCCCTTCTGTCTCGGAAATAACGTGAATGTGACGAGTCCGCGGACGTGGCACCGACAGCGGCCGGGCACCTCGCGTGGGAGCATTCTCGGACCGTGTGCCCCATGTCATGTCATGATACGGGCTGACAAACTCGACCTCAGGAGAGGCCCTCCGCGCCCCGCCCTTCTCTTCCTGCAGGCTTCTACTTGCTGCAGGCGAGCAATGGTTGATGAGGGCGGCAAGGGCCATGCCTGCGGGGATCCATTAGAAACGTCACAGCAACAAGCAAGGCGTCGGCAGGAAGGGGCACGTCGTGCTGCGGCGGTCGGTCAAGGGGAAAAGAGGGGCGCGGTGGGCCGAGGTGTCCGCCAAGAGACCAACGGGCGGAACATGTTCCGGGCGTCGGGCAGGCAGTTTGGGGCAACAAGCTGGCAGGACTGGATGTGTGTGTGTGTGTGTGTGTGTGAGAGAGAGAGAGAGAGAGAGAGAGAGAGAGAGAGAGAGAGGGAGGGAGAGTGATGTCAGACCCCCTCCCAGAAAAGGGGGGTCGGTGGGTTTTGCCCGGAATCGTGTATCAGCTCGAAAAACAGATGAGAGAAGGAGATGAAGATGGACTAGTGAGGAGAACTGGGCACTTTGGCAGAGCAGGAATGGGACGACGTTCTCGCCGTGTGTCGTGCACTGGGTCTTGGTGTCTTGGCATCGCGGTAGGGCCGTTGCGGCCTGTAGGGCTGTGATGGGTGGCAAGCGCTGAGGTACCTGGGTAGGTACCTAGGTAGGCACCTTGTCGTTACCTTGTCGTTACCTTACAGGGCGGCGGGTGTAAGGCGGGCAGGCAGAGCGAGTGGGGGGGGGGGCCCTGTTCGGGCCCGAGAGAGGAGGGTCTGCTTGTCAGAGGGTGAAAAGGCCGACGGCTGGCGGGTCTTGCTTGTTAGGCGAGCTTTCGTACATTATGCAGGTAAGACATATATACTTTCTATCGGTGCTTCCTTTGTATCTAGGTACTTACAAAATATGGGGCCCTTGTGGGCTGATCCACCTCTTGAAGTACCTAAGCAAGCTAAGGTACCTTACCTGAGAACCTTGGGTAGGTAGGTAGGTACCTTAGGTAAATATGGTACACTCCAGCGTTATCTGTTATCTCTCATCTCAAGGCCGTCTTTCCTCTTTGGGAATCCCACTGGGAAGACGAGCGGTGAGATGGCAGCACGACATGCCATGTTATGAACCAGCGACACTACCTATCCCGCCATCCACGCATTTGGACACATAATCACGGGCTGATCTGCGAGCGAGCCAACTTTATTCCCCCGAGTCATATTTCCCCGAGTCGTGGTTTCTATTTCTGGAGGTTCCGGACCATTCCACGTCGCTCATCTTGACATCTGTCGTCTCCCGGTGAACTAGCCCTACCGCGGCTGAACACCAGCGCGCGCCACGCCATCATGGCCTCGGGTGACATTGTCGACTACGAAGCCGTCATGGTGGATGAGTTTGATGCACTGTGAGTTTGGTACCCGTATGTGTTGTGATGCTACGTGGACCTGCGGTGACTCCTGATGCTGACCATGAGCCCAGGAACATCGAGGTCAGGGTTTCGGGGGGCCCCTCGTCTTCCGTGCCCGGTGCTGCCCTGTCAGCGCCGCAATGCCCCGGCATGAGAGCCTTGCCGCAGAAGGGGCCGGTCCTGTCGACGCCTGTGCCAACCACCGCTCCGCCTCCTACTCCGCTTGCTGTGGACAACATGGTCATCCAGAAGGAGACAACAAAGTATCCGGGTATGTTTCACTCTGCATACCCTCTCTGGTCTCCTTTCGTGTCTCCTCATGGCCCCCATGCTGACCTTCTCTTCTCGTAGCGAAACTCCATGCGGCCAAGGTGGCCGACGAGCTCAAGGCCAGCTCCGGTCTCGTCTTCCTGCCCGGTGAGCCGTCGCGTACCTACGAGTACTCGGACATGGGGCCGGCCTTCCATCAACGCCGCTACTTCTTCTACCTCGCCGGCGTCAACGTCCCTGACTGTGCCGTCACCTACAGCCTTGCCGATGACCGCCTGACCGTCTGGATCCCCCATGTCGAGCCCCGCAAGGTCCTCTACAACGGCCGCGTCCCCTCGATCAAGGACGTCCTCGCTGCCTCGGACGTCGACGAGGTCCGCCACATGCAGCATCTCCCAGCCTTCCTGCACGCCTACGCCCATCAGCACGACAAGGCCACCATCTACCTGATTGACGCCTCGCAGTCGCACCCGGCTCTCGTCGACAATGCTCGTATTCACATTGACAGCGCAGCGCTTCGCCCGGCCATGGACGAGGCTCGCGTCACCAAGACGGCGCATGAGATTGCCCTCATCCGCAAGGCCAACGCCGTCTCCTCAGCCGCGCACCGCGCCGTCATGCGCCACATCCGCCGCTTCGCCTCGGAGCGCCAGGTCGCCGCCCTCTTCACCGCCGAGTGCACCGTCCGCGGCGCCCCAACCCAGGCCTACGCGCCCATCGCCGGCAGCGGCCCCAACGCTGCGACCCTGCATTACGGCGCCAACGACGAGCCCCTCGCTGGCCGCCACGTCCTCGTCCTCGACGCCGGCTGTGAGGTCGACTGCTACGCCAGCGACGTCACGCGCACCCTGCCCCTGGGCCCCACCGGCCACTTCACGCCCGAGGCCCGCCACATCTACGACCTCGTCGAGCGCATGCAGGAGGCCTGCATCGCCGCCGTCGCCCCGGGAATCCTCTACTACAGCCTGCACCTCAAGGCCAGCGCCATCGCCCTGCGCGGGCTGCTGCGCCTCGGCATCCTCAAGGGCGACGAGAAGGCCATCTGGGCCGCCGGCACCGTCGCCGCCTTTTTCCCGCACGGGCTCGGCCACCACATTGGCCTCGAGACGCACGACGTCACGGGCCGCGACAGGCTGCTCCTCGCCGCCGGCGCACGAGAGCCGCGCGCCAAGAGGGAGGGCGTCTCGGCCGAGACGCTCGTCGGCCTCGTCGGCCTCGCGGCGGCCGCGACCACGACCACGACCACGACGGGACCGCCGTACCGCGGCAAGCAGACGCTCCGGCCGGGCATGGTCGTCACGGTCGAGCCGGGCCTCTACTTCAACAAGGACTACATCGAGGGCTACTTCCTCCGCGAGGACAGGCACCGCGCCTTCATCGACCGCGACGTGCTGGCGAGGTACTACCCCGTCGGCGGCGTGCGCATCGAGGACTGCATCCTCGTGACGCACGACGGGCACGAGAACTTGACTGACGCGCCCAAGGGCGAGGACATGCTGCGGATCATCCGGGGGGAGGCGCCGTGACGAAGGGACATGTGGGTTGGAGGCGTAGATGGCGTTGTCTGGGCAGCCTGGGCGGTGTGGAGAGATGATGGGATGCCTTCTGGGTTCTTGGTATGTGTTGACACGATGGTTTTGGCTCTTTAATCACATTATGTGCTTGTGAGCTTTGGACTCTTTCGATGTGTACTTGGCCTATTTATTCACACGATGATTTATGGCGCTTCAATATTATTGTGTGCTTGTGAGGTCTAGACTCTTTCGATATGTACAGGCTCCTATTTGTTCACGGTTTTTTTTGGCGCTTCAATTTTATTGTGTACTTGTGAGCTTTGGACTCTTTCGATATGTACATACCCCTATACTGTACAGGCGATCGTACCAACCAAGAAAGGACGCATCACCAAATCAAGACAGTCGTTGAGAAAAACCAGAATATGCTTGTATGCTAAAAATAAGGCCTCCTCCCACGCTCCCTGTCCGCTCCCTGTCCCCCCCCCTCCCCCCCAAACCCCGATCGCCAACGAGGCGACGCGCTCAGAGGTACTTCTTCGGCATGCTCGCGCGCCGCCTCTTGTAGAGGTAGTACCCGACGGCAGCGACCAGCTGGGAGCCGACAATGACGGCGATGAGCTTGCCGTGGCCGGGGACGGCGTCGGCGATGGTGCCGCTGAGGGAGCGGTGGTGGCCCTCGAGCACGCCCTTGATGGCGCGCTCGCTGCTCTTGACCTGCTGGCCGACGTCGCCGCGCAGGGCCTTGATCTCGCGCTCGAGCTCGGCGACCTTGGCCTCGAGCGTGCGCACGTGATCGAGGCGCGGCACCACGTCGAGGCGCACCGTGTCGATGAGCCGCGACACCTCGGCCCGCGACTGCTCGCCCGACCGCGCGTGCTTGGACACGGTGCGGAAGACGTTGCTGATGTGGTGCGTCAGGCTCTGCAGCCGGTTGTGCAGGTCGGCAAACTGCTCGGCCGACGACGTGAACGTCTCCGCCGACTGGTCCTTGATGTCGAACGGGTCCTCGTCGCTGCCGCTGCTGCCGCCGTCGCCGAGCGGCGTGTTCTTGCTCGTGTCCTTGCTGAACCAGCCGCCGCCGCCGCCGCTGCCCGCGTTGTCCCTCTTCTTCTGCTGCCGCTCCTGCTGCTGCTGCTGCTGCTGCTGCTTGGCCTTCTCCTTCTGGGCGGCCTCGTTGCCGACGGAGCCCTGGTTGGCCCCGGCCTCGCCCTGCTGGGTGTAGCTGGCCTCGGGGTGGAGGCTCTCGGACATGACGACGAGCTTGAACAGCTCAAACGAGTCGGGGTTGTCGGCGCTGGCGGCCGTGATGCCGAACTGGTAGCCCAGCGGCACCTTGACCTTGTCGGTGGCGAAGCAGGGGGTGCCGTCGACCTCGACGGAGAACTTGTCGGCCGTCTGCCGCATCTTGATCTGGCTCGGGCGGCCGAGGTTGCGGTAGGCGTACTGGCAGTGGCCAAAGGCGAGCCCGGCAATGTCGCCCTGGGCGCCAAAGTCGGTGGTGCGGTCGTTGAGGAAGCCGCGGATCATGCCGCCCGAGCCGCCGTACGTGTCGACGACGAGGACGAGGCCGTCGAAGCGCCCGACCGTGTAGGCGCTGTGGAGGCCGACGTCGTTGCTGCCGCCCGACGTCAGCCAGATGTTGAGGTTGCCGCCGCCGCGGTCGGGCCCGTTGGCGCGAAAGTCGACGTCGGCGATCCACGTCGAGTGCATCAGCTTGTTGCTGGACCACACCGACGCGCGCTGGTTGCCCGGCGCCACAGGCGTCAGGATGATCTTGTTCGACAGCACCTCGGGGGTCTGCGGGCTGCCGACGAGGGCAAAGTTGGGGATGACGCCGTCCTTGCCCATGCTGCATGCGCCAGTGATCAAGTCAGCGAGGAAGGCCCATGGGGGAAAGCGAGGAGCACAACGTACGTTCCGGTGTAGCCCAGGCTGAGCTCATTGATCAGGTACTGGGCCTGTGTCAGGCTGGTGCCCAGGGCCATGGTGAGGGCCGCGCCCAGCGAGGCTTGAGAGATGCGCATCGTGAAAGGAGGAGGAGGAGGAGGAGGAGGAGATTCGTGTCTTCGTGGTCTCGTGGCGGTCGAGTCGTCTGGTGATCAAACACACACGCCGGTGTCAATTGATCGTGAGTTGAACCAAAGGGGAACGAAAAAAAAAGTAACGAGATCGAGAGAAAAAAAGGCTACAAGCCTGGAAGAGATTCTCTGAGAGGAACGGAGGGTCGAAGCCGCGCCAAGTCAGTCGGCCCTGCGGCTCAGCCTTGAGGACAGTTGGCAACCTTTCAAGCTGTGACGGGTATGACGAACAGAGCAGCTCAATGGGGTCAAGAATCGGAGATGGGGGTATTTGAGTGATGATAGAGCTGGAGAAGCCCTAGACGTACTGATGCTGGGTATTGGACAAACGGATAGAAATGAAGCTGATTGCTGGTCAAGCTTCGAACAGAGGGGCCAATTGATGGATTCTCCCAGCCATGTCCAGCTCTCACCTGTGACAGCTTCAGGACACGGTTCCCTGCCTCTGTGGCTCTCTGTGGCTCATCCGCCGCATGCGCCACAGATGATCGGAAGTCGGGCCAGGGTCGGCCGATGGTGACGCACGGGCCACGATGCTCAGGGTCCAGACAGACAAGACAAAAGCAGAAAGAGACAAGTGACGACAGGTGTGAAGGTACAGCTCCCCATGACATTGTGCACGTCGTCGTCAACCAGCTTCCTCTTTCTTCACGACCCCTCTCGGCAATGCCAACGCGACCTCACCGGTGAACGAACACGGCGCATCACGATGGCCGACCACTTCCCGACCATCACGCAATGCGCCATCGTCGCGGCCGCGTTCAAGGTGCTGCTCTTCCCAGCATAGTGAGTGCCCCTCCTTGTGCTTGCTGTCGCCAAAAGCACACATGACAACTGACAATGTGAACGCACAGCAAATCGACCGACTTTGAGGTCCATCGCAATTGGCTAGCCATCACAGAGAGCCTGCCCATCTCGCAGTGGTACCTCGAGAAGACGTCAGAATGGACCCTCGACTACCCCCCCTTCTTCGCCTACTTCGAATGGGCCCTGTCGCAGGTCGCCAAGCTCGTCGATCCGTCCATGACCAAGCTGTACAACCTCGAGTATGACAGCTGGCAGACAATATACTTTCAGAGGTGGAGCGTCATCATTTCGGAGATTGTCCTCGTCTTTGCGCTGCACATGTGGGATGACCCCCATCTTTGGTTCGAGCCAAGTCCCTAACCGAGACACAGGTTCATCGACTCGGCGAGCCCCTCGAACCGGCGCGCTACCCAGACTGCTGCCCTCTCGATTCTTCTGTCGCCCGGCCTGCTCATCATTGACCACATTCACTTCCAATACAATGGCTGCATGTACGGCATCCTCATCATCTCGCTCGTCCTGGCCCGCAGCAAGTCGACCCTGCTCTCCAGTGGCCTCGTCTTTGCTGCGCTGCTGTGCATGAAGCACATTTACCTGTATCTGGCGCCTGCCTATTTCGTCTTTTTGCTGCGCGCCTACTGCTTGTCGCCTAGATCCATCTACAACATCAGCTTCTTCCACTGCGTCAAGCTTGGTGTTGGCATTGCCGCCATTTTCGGCGCCGCCTTCGGTCCCTTTGTCTACTTGCAGCAGATTCCCCAGCTGCTGAGCCGCCTGTTTCCTTTCTCGCGAGGGCTGTGCCATGCCTACTGGGCCCCCAACATCTGGGCGCTCTACTCGTTCGCCGACAGGCTTCTCATCATTGGTATGACCCGGCTTGGTCCCCCCCCCCCTCTATCACCACATGCTGATTCTGTGCAGTCGCCCCTCGGCTGAAGCTTCCCGTCAACCTCGACGCCGTCAACAGTGTCACGCGAGGCCTCGTGGGCGATACCGCCTTCGCCGTGCTGCCCGAGATCAGCCCCAAGATCTGCTTCGGCCTGACCCTCTTCTTCCAGGTGCTCCCGCTCATCAGACTCTTCGGCGCGCCGACGTGGGAGAACTTTGTGGGCGCCGTGACGCTCTGCGGATATGCGTCCTTCCTCTTCGGCTGGCACGTCCACGAGAAGGCCGTCCTGCTCATCATCATCCCTTTCAGCCTCATTGCGCTGCAGGACCGTCGATACCTCGGCGCATTCCGCCCGCTTGCCGTCGCCGGCCATGTGTCTCTGTTCCCGTTGCTGTTCACGCCAGCCGAGTTTCCGATCAAGACGGTGTACACCATTTTTTGGTTGATCCTCTTCCTCATGGTGTTTGACCGACTGGCGCCGGCCTCGCGAAAGGCGAGGTTCTTCCTGCTCGATCGCTTCAGCACGCTGTACATTGCCGTCAGCATCCCGCTGATTGTGTACTGCTCCCTTGTGCACCAAGTCGTGTTGGGCAAGAGCTACGAGTTCCTCCCCCTGATGTTCACCAGTTCCTACTGCGCGATAGGAGTCGTCGGGAGCTGGGTGGGCTTCATGGTCGTGTACTTTGCATCCTGATTCTCGGAAAAAGAGGACAGGAGAAGCGTCATGAAGCATGCTCTGAGCTCTGAGATGCGCCTAAAATAGAGATCAAGTTCCGAGACGCCAGCATGCCACGGCAGACAGTGAACGTGAATCAGGCTCCTGGAGAAGGAGCTCTGTCACCCAATTGAGTGGGTTGAGGTTGGTGCTGACTCAGGAGACGGCCAATCAAAGCTGCGTTACCCACGTGTGATGCAAGGCTGAAAGCCACTGCAGCGGGTAGAATTTCTGACCCTAACGATTTCGGGACTGGGGTGGGTCGCCGGGGAGGGGGGGGCTCTCTATTGTGGACCGCGACGGATGGCTGCGCGTGAGCGCGCGTTGCTTGTTGGGTCCAATTTGTTTGACCGGTCTTTGGCAACCGCAGTCGGGCGGCAGACAGCAGCCGACTGAAAGATGGACAGGACGTTGATGCACAGAATAGGGGGGATGCGATGCGAGACGAACCACTTCCAGCATACCTACGACAAGGTTCGGATGGGACAGGATGACGTCTGGGGATGGTCAAGGGCTCAGAGACAAGGGAATGATATTGAATGCGACGCGGCATGCAGCATGGTCCATGACCAATTGAGCTTCTGTATACATTATTCAGCCTCGAAAGAACAGAGGAGATGAGTGAGAAGTCTTTTTGCCGAGGTGGTGGACTGGCGAAGCCGGATGACGCAGGGCGGTTGCTGGGGGCCTTGTCAAATGTCGAGGAGGCGATTGACAGATTCTAGGCTACCCTTTTGATGGTTCGAGGACGTGCATCGAATCGACGCTCATTTGACCATGTCGTCCACAAAAATCTTCCTTTGACGTGCAGTCGATTTGGGCGAGCGACGGGATCATTTTGAGCCCATATACCGTGGTCCATGTCCGCTGAGCGAAAAGGTGGTTGTCGAGGCAGAGATGGCCGGGTGGATAGGTGGATAGGTGGTTTGGAGGAGGAGCGCGAGCGTGAATCCGAACCGAACCGCACCGCACCGCGCCAACACCACACACACCCACGGGGGCTGCCGGACGGGGGTCCCGACCAGCGCAGCGGCCGCCAATAGGACCTCGCGGACGGCGGTTAAGCGAGGCGCCTCCCCACTGTCCACCGTGGGTCCAAGTACCGAAGTCACTGTCCCCTTCTAAAGTGCACCCGGTACGGGGGCCTTTCAGCGGTCGACAGCGGGCGATCGTGGGGGCCGTGGATCGTGAGGTACCTCGGGGTACTTTGGTGTCAGGGACCAAATGGACGACACTGCCGACCGACCCCCCCCCCAATCTCGTCTCGGTGCAGATGCTACTGGCGCTGGGGTCGCTGCACTGGGTGAAAGGGTGTAAGCCTCCTCCCTCGGCCCTTCTCCTCCTCTCCCAGTCGGAATTGGATTTTTT